ATGTATTTATTTTTCTTCTACTACAATTGTTCTGTTTCATGGAACAAATATAATTGTGATTTATTTAGATACCACAAAATTTTTATGTATTTACATTTGTAATGTCTAATTTTCTATATTTACTTCCATATCGCTTGTGTTGTGCTATATACCCCAACACAAGCGATATGGAAGTAATACTTCCATATCGCTTGTGTTGTGCTATATACCAGTTGATGTGGTATATATCTAAATCAAACAGGAGAACGATCGACGAAGCAAAAAAATAGAACGAAAAAATTTACACCAGAAAACAGTAAAACAACAGAACACACAGATTTACGTGGTTCGGCAAATTGCCTACGTCCACGGAGTTGCAGAAGATTTTACTACTTGAGGAATTTACACCACTCGATCGTCTCGACTTACAAGAGGAATCTCTCACTTTGTTGCTCTCTCTTCTCTCTCTACACCGAGATACACCGAAGAAGATAAACTTACAAGATAAATAAATTCAATTTTTCTTCTGTCACAAGCCACCAAGAAGTCAAGGGAGAATAATTTTTTTCTTCTTTCTTCCAATTTTTTTCTTCTTTCTTTCTTCTGCCGTAAGGAACTAATGCTTGCACCTCTCTTCCACTCTCTTTCGTGGTCTTCCGTGGAAGTCCTTCCATTGTCCCGTGAAAATTCGAAGAAGAACAAAGAAAGACCGTGACTACTATGAGCCCTGCAATACCTCTTATTGCGAATAGGTAGGCGCGACGATTCGCGAAACGACAAAGGCGGGAACAGTTCCTCTGTCGCAAATGACGTCAGGCGGGAGACACATCTTGTGCGATCGGGCGCGGGAGCGGGAGAGTGGGAGGTGGGAACGAGATTAATTGGGCTCCAGCTTAATAAATCTTTTACTTGATGATCGATACACATGCAACAATGTCTCCTTCCTCAAACTGATATCCTCCACTGGCGTTGTCGTCCTTTTCTTCAAATATGAATACTCCACCTCTGCAACTCAAAGCCTTTGTCTTCACACCAGAAGACCAACTAAAGCTGTGCACAACTTCAATTTTTCAAGAGTAACTCCTCCAGTCAACATATCATCAGAGTCAACATAGTTTTGCACATCCAAACTATTTCTTGAATTACTCGTCTCTATTTACAACTCCCACTGCATGGACAATATTCTTTCTCTGTTGGAAACCTTTTTCAACAAGTCTAGCCTTGTACAGGCAGTTCTACCAGCTCACACTTGCTCGAACTTTCATCTTGCAAGATTTTCTCATAGCTCTGCGGTTCTCCACCATCTGTCTGTGGAACGATAGAAATGAGTGCCCTAAACCCACTATTCTCTTCGCTTCCATCAAACAAAACTATGAACTACCAGCAAATAGTACATCATGTATTTCTTCACATACCACATTTGCGCTATCATTCTCTATATTCTTAGGATTCCTGCAGTTCCTCTTTATGTGGTCAGCCTTGCTACAATTCCAATAGGTTGTCTGTTAACTAGACTTTGATTTTGATCTTCCTTTAAATGAGTTTCTGTCATGTCATCTCCCTCTGAAATCAACATTCAATACTGAACTCGAACCTGAGATCTCGCCAGAATTTTTTCTGGGCACCTTCTCAGCCAAAATCAAATCACGAATATCATCATATCTCAGTTTAGATTTACCTGCAAAACTGCAAACTTCCATTCTCATGGCTTTCCAACTATTTGGTAGTAATGATGTCAATAATATCAGCG